GGTTCCGGTCATGCTGAGCCTGGGCTACTCAGGCTTTAGGAGCCGAGTGGAGTGCATGTCATGTGACCTCAGACCTGTGGTCCCAACCCCCTCAGCCTGTGTCCTAGCAGTCAAACAAGCTAATAACATCTTCTTCGCTGGGTCTTTGACACTATTTGCAGAGAAGGTACACATAAAGCATCCATGACAGTGAAGGGCACACAGCAGGCACTCAATGAATGGCACCTGTCATAAGAGAGGACCCCCAATCCAAGTCCCAGAGGTCCGACTTCAAGGATAGTCCTAAACAAGTCCTGGGACCCAAGGTATCCAGTGTCAGGTGGAAGAGGGGAAGGCTGGATGTGGCCTTCAGTGACACTGAGATTGTATGGGTCCCATCTGGGGGAGCACTGGTGAGCTCTCAGGAAGGAGGGGCAGCAGTCCTAGGTGAGGCAGCATCTGTGGGGGACCCTCACTGGCCCAGGGTGAGCAGGCAGGCTTGTAGCTGGTCATGAGGCTGTGTGGGTCTTCAGCCTCAGCCCTCCCTGAGCCTTGGCACAGACCTGGGGGCACCTGCCCCACGCCCATCAGCAGAAGCCCTCCTGGCTTCAATGTGCCTCCAGGGCCAGCCTCCCCAGCAGGGGGCCTCCTTCCTCTTCTGGGCTCCCTGTGGTCCTGTTCCTTTATCCACCCAACACCCAGGGTTAGTCCTGAAACACACACTTATTGAGCATCTATTTGTGCCAGGCCTGGGCATGGAACTGGGGGCACAGAGGTTCACAAGAAGAGGCTCAGACTGGGGAAGGGACTGGCTCTCAATAGAGGGGATAAGGAGGGAGGTTGGGGAAGGGCTTTCGGATGAGCCCAGAGGCTATTGTCTGGGCAGGGAGATGGTGGCCTGCCAAGGCCTCCTGGACCCCATCTCCAGCAAAACAAGCAGAGTGGCCGTCTCGACACAGAGGACCCAGTGCATGTCACCCAGTGCCATCCTCCGACTTCCCAGTGACACAGCACATCCATGGGGCAGCATGACCCCTGGGGGCCTGACAGAAGGGAGAAGCTGTGCCAGGTGCAGCCTGCTGGATTCTGAGGCTGCCCCAGGGACAGGAGGTCATCAGGATGACTGGATCCCCAAGCTGGTCAGAGCTTGGAAACACGTATCTTCAAACCAGCTCCCCAGCGATGCTCACAGTGGTCAGGTGTGGGGACACTGGGGAGACGCAGGTCCGGGGAGGCCATGTGGGTCACATGTTATTTTGTGACTCTGGGGTAAGAGGGGAGCAACGCCAGCTTAATAGGCTCACACACACCCACAGGTGTGTCCTGATGACATCCCAGAGTCAGGGACAACCTTCCGTCCTGGTACTAATTTGCCAGATTTCTAAGTTTGAGACAGTGTCCCAGGGGTCAAGGGGTAGGAGGCATGTCCTCCCCAACACACGTTGAACTAGCCTGCCATTGCCACCCACCAATGCAGGGATTCATCACTTCTTTAAAAATCAAAAGAATTTTTCATATTTTATTATAGAAAATGTTCTTAAAATGTAATGTATTTACTTATCTTCCTTCTGAACCAACTACACCCCTGTAACTTTCTTGCCCTTTCTTGGATGGTCCCAGATCATTGGGTTAATTCCCCTGTGCTGGTCAACAGCTGCCCCACCCCTGGCCCAGCAAGAAGCTGGCAAGAGAGTGAGATTCATCTTACAGAAATAAAAGTCACTTCTCAAAGTCAACTTCTCCGTCGGTTCCAAAATGGCAGAAACTGGGAATCAATAAGCAACTCAATTGTCTGGTCTGAGTGGCCCCGATTCAGAAAATCTGAAAACTGTCGGGTCCCTATATGGAAAATGCTTTGAGTCATCAGTTTTAAATTGCTGATCTAATACATTCAGAATGATGCATAATTGGTTTCCTATAAATCAAAGTGAGCCAGCTGCCAGACGCCCCGATATTACTCAGGTTCCAAATTTGTTGCGTGTAAACCTTGAACCTGTCATTATCTTCTCTGGGCATCTCTTTATCGAGACAGTTGTACTGTCCTGTGGGACATCGAGTCACAGTTCTGAAGGGTGACAGCTCTCTGGAGCCCCCTGTAGAACTGTGCCAACCTTTGAACATGTTCCACTTTTTGAAGTGTTTCAAACCCCTGATCCAACAACAGAGCCTCATCACATCCCATTTTAGAGAGCGTGAAACGGAGAGACACAGAAAAGTATCCTGCTAAAGGTTATATCCAAGCAAGGACTTGAAATAGGACCCTGAGGTTGGGGTCAATCCCAGCTACCGGAGCTGGTGACCTGTAGCAGTGTTACAGAGCTCCCCAGGGGACCAGGACTGTGCCCCTGTGCCTTGCCAGGTACCTGACACACCCCAGCAGATCCCAGTGCGGGCTGTGTCCCAGGTCCACCCCACACTGACCACTCCAGTGGACCCTGTGATGGAGCTACTGTGAACACCCGTCTGGGGCACAGAGATGTTAAGGAGCCTGCCCTGGAGCTGGTGACAGGCACTGAGGCCTTGAGCCCCAGAGCCCACCCTCTGAGCCAACCAACCTGAGTGAGTCAGAGTGGCCACCCCTGTTCAACACGGGGCCCGGGCAAGGCTTCTGTTTGGACCTGCAGCCTGGCTGATGGCCAGGAGGGCAGCATGACTCATCCGTGTGTGGTCCCCCAAGCCATGGTGACAGGCATACTGCAGTAGCTGAAGAAGGGCCACATCCCAGGGCCTTCTGGATCATTCATGAGCTCTAGCCAACTGCCCCAGGGAGAACGGCCCTGCCCTGCAGGGAAGGAAGGAAAGAAATTGTTAAGCTCGAATTCGGGACCCCCAAAAGACCACCAGAGACCAAGATGGATGTAAAGAGCATAAGAGGTGTTTATTGCGAGCTAGCTCGGTCCTCAGCGCGCACACACACAGCAACTGGTGACGCTGAGAGGCCCCGAGCCCAGCGTTTGCAACAGTTTTATACATTCTTTGGAGAAGGCAGGGACCCCCACATACATCATAGCATCTCTTAGCAAATCATCACACATCGCGGGAAAATCAAACAACTCTAAAACATGATTAGCACATTCACTGGCGGGAACAAGTTGGGGAGGGGTGATTGGTGAGTACAAGAGGGGGATTCGTTTGAACTGATTGGTTTAAGCCAAAAGGGGTGTTCGTGCTGAACTACATGGTTTCCCAACATGTTATCAACCACCATAAACTACTGGGAGGGTCATCTGGCATCCCAGGTATTTTCCTGTCTCATGCTGACTGGTGGCTGCTAGGGGGTTGCTATGGATCTAGCCTGACTGAGTCAGGGACACCTGGCGCAGCAGATCTCTCCTGTTATTTGTAGATAAACAACTTAGCAGGGTGGGAATGTGCCTAGGAGTGCTCTGTGGGTCTTTCCAAGGACAAAGGTGATGTCCCTTCCTTGGACAGGCTTTGCTCTGAGGTAGAGGCTGGTTTTTCAAAATAAAGTTGTATAGATGCAGCTGTTGCCACCTCTGATGCAGATGATGACATTCAGGACAACCACACAGCAGGGTCACACTATGGCCCAAGCTCCAAGGGAGTCCTGGCAGGACAGATCTGGTCTGTCATTCAAGCTTTACAAACCCATGTGGGGACAGTCCTGGGACTCCCTTTTCGTGGGCAAAGAGACTGAAGTTTCAATGACAGGGACCTGGAATTTCACAGCTAGGAGCCAGGAGGCTGTGGACTGGGCCACACTCTACCTGCAAGGTTAGTGTTTCTCCCGCCAACCTTCCGTGTGGCTTATTTTCCCCCATGGAATTAAGATGGGCGATGGGCAAGCTGCGGTTCATGTTTTACTTATTTTTCTGTTTAACTGGTTTTTTTCACTTTAGTCATTTAGGTGTCAATGGGGAATTGCAGGCCAAAGTTGGAGAGGAAACCCTTTTTCCTCTTTTAGGTCCATCCCTGGGGGCCTGCAAATTAAAAAAAAAAGACTAACAGCAAAGGGGGTGCAGGATTTTATTAACATGTGTGCGCCTGGTAGTTCACAGAAAGATGAAACCAAGAAGCTGTTTGACTCCAGGGCCTATGTATCCTCTTAAAGGAAAGAGTTTGGCCCTCTAGGGTAATCAACGGTGGTGAAATGGCTAGGAAATAATATAGGGGAGACAAGGGAAGAGGAAAGGCTTTTCTACTGAGGTCTGTTTGTGCAAACTCATCTCGGCCTGAACCCAGGCTCCAGAGAGAGGAGCTCTTCTCCTCCTGCGACTCCTTCCTCCACAGGAGACCTGTGCCCGGCTTCTAGTGGGCTAAGGGCGGGGCGGAGAACTCTCTTCCGGCCTCTGCTCATTCTCAGTTGCCTTCAGCTCAAAACAATCCTTCTGTCAAAGTGGCACGTTCTGGGGTGACGCCTTCTGCTGCCCTTCCCCAGGGAGGAGGATTATGTACTGGGGGGCACGGAGCCAAAAGGGACAGGAGCAGCCTAGCGCTGGAGTCTCTGGAATCTGGGGCTCCTCGTAGCTCCCCAAGAGCAGAATGGATGTTCCTGGGGGGCCTCCTTCACCTTGGCCTCTAGCCCTGCCTGGGCGTGGCTTCCCAGGGCAGAGCCAAAGAGCGCTGGCTGGCACAGTGGCCCGTGCTGGGCCCAGACCAAGCCTCTCCAAATCCTTTAACCACGTGGAGATGAAGGTCACTTGGTACTCGGTGTCCTTGACACCTCTGAAATGCCTGCCAGCTCGCCCAGCAACTTCAGATTGTACACCACCACTACCTGATGAGAGATTTTAATTCAATTTAATTTAAATTTGCAGCCCTGGAGACGGAACTGAGGTTCTGTCTAGGCAAGAGCTCAGCCACTGAGCCGTGCCCCTTGCCTCTGATTCTATTTTGTTCTTCTTTTCTTTTCTGTTTTTGGTCCTGGGGATTGAACTCAGGGGCACTTAACCGCTGAGCCACATCCCCAGCCCTCTTACGAATTTTATTAGAGACAAGGTCTCACTGAATTGCATACGGCCTCACTAAATAACTGAGGCTGGCTTTGAACTCACCATCCTCCTGCCTCAGCCTCCCAAGCTGCTAGGATTACAGGCGTGGGCCACCGTGCCCAGCTCTATTTGTTCTTAATGGACACCTTTTGTTGGTGCCATTGTTCTTGGTTATCCCTGGACCAGAGATATAAATTTCCTTCTTAAATAAATTATTTCAGTTAAGTGAAAGAAAAAGAGAGAGAGAGAGACAGGGAGGGAGGAAGGGAGGAAGTACTCAACGTGGCCTGGGGAAGTTCCCCATGATCCACCAGGGTTTGAGCAGGCCTTCTCGGCCCCTCGAGGGTGGCAGATGAAGCAGTAGCAGCCCATGGCGTAGGGCTGGGCTGGAGGTCAGTGTGCCCAGGTGGGGTGAAGGAGCCCAGGTACCAGCAGGCTGGGCCTCGGGACTGGCAGAGGGGCAGGTCTCTGCTGCTCTGGGCGTGGGGGCAGGAGAGTGGTGGAGCAGGACTGGGGAGCACCGCAGGCAGAGAGGGTTCTACACCTGCTCAGCGTGGCGCTTGGCTGGGTGCAACTTGTGACAGACGCAGGCTCCTGCCCCATCCCACCCAGGCCCACGGACTCTTCAGGTTGTGAAAATAAAAGGTAAAGTGGTGACGGGCACGGCCCTGGGAGAGTGTTCCAGGTGGAGCCGGAGGCCACGAGGACACAGGACCTCTGCGAGGACACAGGACCTCTGCGTGGTTCACGCTGCGGCCTGGGTGTGGGCTCTGGTCCCTTCTGGTGCCAGCGACGACGGGGACGCCTTGCTCCACCATGCCCAGAGACTCAGACACGAGTCTTGCGTGGACGTTTTTACTTCTTTTCTCCATCTTTTGTGGATCACAAAGACCCTGCACCTGTTCTCGACTCCCACAGATGTTTCCCCACAAAAGAATTGTTGCTGCCCCGAAATACCCCGCTGTCTGCTCCCTCGGCCCCCCTCTTCCTCCAAACACCGACTCGGAGCTCTCTGGATCTGCCTCCCGAACTGCTGTTCCTAAGACCCCAAATAAAGTCCCATTCAGGGTCCCAGTTTGTCTTGGTCCACAAGGTGTGGGGCCCAAGGGCCTGCATTATAACAGGACCCCACCCCTGGGGGGACGACTCTTGTCCCTCATTGAGTTGATGACCTTTGCCTTTGGGGGTCACCCTCTGGGAGGGCAGGATGGCCCCAGGACCCAGGGTTTAACATGGCTTTTGCTCACCCTTGCCGGGCCCCTGCCACTTCTGCTGATGGAGTGAGCTCAGGCGAGATGTGTCCCCATCTGTGAGCTGGGAGCACTGACCCCACCCTGCAGGGCCACGCTGAGTCCTGAATCCTGGAAACCTGTCTTCCCATCCCCCACTCAGGAAGTGGAGCCACCGAGGTGGGACTGTCACCTCTCCTGCTCGGCACTTCCAGCCCTGGGGTGCCTGGGGCCAGGGAAGGGCACTTATGGGGTCCTTCAGCAGAGCCAGGGACACCTGCAGCCTCCTCTCCGCTGACCCTTGATAGGAGGGGACAGCCCCAGCTTCCCCTTATCAGCCACCCACTGGGGTTGAAAGAGGCAGCCCCCCTAAAGATTGCACCTCATTCCAGTGACTCCCCAGGGAGTGTGTGGGGGGGTTGTTCTTGGCAGGGGGTGGATTTCTGATCCCTGGAAGGAGGAGGCTGGGAGGTGATATACTTTCCATCTGCCATCCTGCCCTCCACTCTGTCCCAACTCTCACCAGTGGCAGGTGCACCTGAGGAGACAGATGAGGGTTGGATGGAAAATTTCCTTCCCTGGGGAGGCATTAGCACCTCCGTGTTAGTGATCACAAAATCAGGATCAGAGAAGTAGCCCCAGTAGCCCAAGGTCACACAGCTGGGAAGGAGTCCAGTTGAGAGAAATAGGATGGGCTTTCCTATCAGTCCCTATTCATTCATTCATTCATTCATTCTCTTATTAGAATTTCCTCTCCTCAGCCTTGTTCTGGATGCTGGAAAGGTTCCTCTCCATCCTTGTCTTCCAGGTGCTCACATTCTGGTTGAGAGTTGGGGTAAGGGAAACAAATGGCTCAATAAGTACTTGATTAAGAACCACCGGAGGGGGGGAAGCAGGGACATAGAGAGGGCAGGAGAGGAGAGTGGAGCGGGTAGGGGTGCTGTGGGTTGGGGGCACAAGCTGGGCTCTGGGTGGGGAGGGGCCCGGAAGCATCTCCCACTCAGGTCCCCAAATTGCAGGCCGCGGCCAGGAACCTGAAGGTGAAAGAAGCCCGGAGGGGCCCTTGGTGGCCTGCTGTGAGCCCCCCTAACTGCCTTCAAGTCTTTTTACATTTTAATTTAAAAACCACTGGAGGCCTCTGTCTGGAGAGCAGGCGGGTCCCCAGCAGAAGAGAAGAGGAAAACACAGAGCCGGTCCCTGACTTCCCTGGGGTCAGGACAGGTCTCACGCTGACCTCAGGCATGAGCGTGCGTCAGGGACCCCCCCATACACACAGGCAAATGCCCCAGGGCGGGAAGGCAGGAGCCGGGCCAGAGGGCAGGACCTGGGGAGGAAACAGACAGGGACCTGGGGAGCCATGGCCACCACGCTGGCCCTGGCTGGGCGGCCAGAGGTAGAACCCTGGATCATCCAGTGGGCGGAAGGGCCTGGCGTGGGCTAAGGCGGTCCAGGAGGGAGGGCTCCATGCCAGGGCCACCATGGTCCTCAGTGATTCTAACCCTTTTCCTGCTGATAGTAGGCCCGCCCTGGCCCCTGGGGACTCAACCCCCAGTTCTTTGTTATGCATGTCAATGTGGCCAGCTCACAAGGCCATGACGGAGGCTTGCGGTTCCCTGTTTATCCGCCTCGCACATATGTGTCTCGGGAACATCTTGACCTGTTCGAGCCTCCTGATAGGGGACGGTGACGTGACGGTAACCCAAGGACGCAGTTATTACTCTCCCCTCCTCACTTTTGAGTAATTTCCCGCAGCTGTTAAAAAGATATATAAGGGGAACAAATCTGGCAATAAAGCGCGCACATGCCCCCTCCTGGATGAAGAACCTTGGTGTCCTGTGTATTTTTAACCCCGACGTCCCTCGCCGGACTCGGCTCCCTTAGCCGGACGCGGCATCTGGAGGCTCCCATCGAGATCCGGAAAGTAGGGGTAAGCGGACGGGGCTCACCTTCTAAAGGTAGAAGGGGGAGGATTGGTTTAAAGGTAATTTAAAGAGACAGGGTACATACCATGGGTAACTCAACAGCGAAGGTTCGTCTGGCCAACGAACTGAAAGAGCTGTTAAATACACAAGGAACAGGAATAAAAACTAAGACTGCAACCGAATTCTTTGAAGTTATCGCCCAGGCTTGTCCTTGGTTTCTGACAGGAGGTTTTCTCAATAACAATGATTGGGATTTAGTTTGGCAACAGCTTCGCAGGGCTGTGTTGTCCGGAGGGGATTTTTTGTTGTGGAAAAGTGAAAATCAAGAGAGGTGTCGCGAGCTAGCCCGAGTCAACCAGGACGCCAGCTTCCCACGGCGTAACCTTGAAATGTTAACAGGCTCAGGACAATATGCTGTCATAAATCAGCAAATTAATTATGATCCTGGGGGTCTATGCTCAGATAGCCTCAGCTGCGGTCCATGCCTGGAAAGCCTTGCCCGTTTCTAAGACTGGAATGCAAAAATCTGATAACAGGGGAACCCGCTCTAAGGGGTGTTTTAAGTGTGGGAAAGAGGGACATATAAGGAGAAACTGCCCGGAAAGGAGCGAGGGTGCTGGCAGAGGGATGGTTGGAATTTGTCCTCGATGTCATAAAGGAAATCATTGGAGTAGTGAGTGCAGGTCAAAATTTGACATCCAAGGTAACCCAATACCGTCGGGAAACGGGAGCAGGGGCCCGCCCCGGGCCCCGGAAGCCAAAGTGTACGGGGCAGTGCAGGGACGAAACAGTGCCCCGGGGAGTGGGCATCTCCGCCGCCTCCCCTGACCAACCCCTTTCTATCTGGGAACTCCCCAGGGGAACACCGGGAAGTGCAGGATTGGATCTCAGTTCCACCTCCCGAGCAGTACTGACTCCGCAGATGGGTCCCCAGACCCTGCCAACTGGAGTCTTTGGCCCTTTGCCGGAGGGAATTGTGGGACTGATACTGGGAAGAGGCAGCACTCTGCATAAAGGGCTCAGAATTCTTACAGGTGTGGTTGATGGTGATTACCACGGGGAGTTAAAAATTGTTGCCGAGGCTACCCAAGGGATTGTTATTATTCCTCCCGGAGAACGCATAGCACAATTATTGCTGCTGCCGGCGGCGTCTCTACCCAGCCGTGCCCTACAGGCAGCCCGGGGTAATGGCAGTTTTGGTTCCACCGGCTCCCCTCAAACCTTTTGGGTAGCACACTTGGACTCCCGACCACAATTAACCATTAAAATACAGGATAAAATCTTCAAGGGGATATTAGATTCAGGAGCTGATGTCTCTGTTATCTCTAAGAAACAATGGCCATCTGTTTGGCCTCTCCAAGATCCCTCAGCTGTATTACAGGGGATTGGGCAGACGAGACCAGAAAAAAGTGCCTCCTTTCTAAAATGGAGAGATGAGGAAGGACACAGTGGTTATTTTCAGCCTTATGTAGTGGCTGGACTCCCCACAAACCTTTGGGGAAGGGACCTACTTCAACAAATGGGAGCTATCCTCACCACTCAGACCCTAAAAGGGAGTAATAAATTTGTTAATGACATGATGTTAGACATGGGATGGCTTCCCGGAAAAGGACTGGGGAAAAGACATGAGGGAAGGGCAACGCCTGTGGACCCTACAGAAGAAATTACCAGAAGTGGAGGAGATCGGAGGGGGCTAGGAAATTTATCCTAGGGGCCACTGAAATGCGGCCACGTCCTCTATCTATTACTTGGTTATCAGATGACCCTGTGTGGATAGAACAGTGGCCCCTAGCTAAGGACAAATTGCAGGCCGCGACCCTTCTGGTTCAGGAACAGCTTAGGGTGGGGCATATAGTGCCTTCCACTTCCCCCTGGAACACTCCTATTTTTGTCATAAGAAAGGGGTCTGGAAAATGGAGGCTTCTCCAAGACCTGAGGGCTATTAATAATACCATGCAGCCCATGGGACCTTTACAGCCAGGACTACCCTTCCCCACGGCTATCCCTAAAGATTGGCATCTTATTATTTTGGACCTAAAAGATTGCTTCTTTTCTATTCCCCTGGCCCCCCAGGATTGTAAACGTTTTGCTTTCTCTTTACCTTCAATAAATTTTAGGGAACCCTATCAGCGGTTTGAATGGACTGTCTTACCTCAAGGAATGGCCAATAGCCCTACTATGTGTCAGTACTTTATAGCAAAAATTCTGCAACCCTTTAGGCAACAATTCCCAAACTTTTACCTCGTCCATTATATGGATGATATATTATTGGCAGGCCCTGATAGGAAAGCACTTTTCCGGTCTTATGAAGTCCTCCAGTCCCTGTTAAAGGGGGCCGGACTGATTATAGCCCCAGAGAAGGTGCAGATTCAGTATCCTTATAACTACCTAGGATATACTATTAACAAGGTAGGGATCACTCCCCAGAGGCCTCAATTTCAGGTGAACCAGCTCAAAACCCTGCACCAATGGCAGACATTTCTGGGGGAAATCCAATGGCTGCGGCCTTCCCTCCATGTCCCTACTGGTGAACTTAAACCCCTGTATGACCTTTTGAGAGGAGACCCCTCACCCACCTCCCCGCGAAAACCTACTCCAGAAGCCTTGAAGGCGCTTAGATTGATAGAGACAGCCTTACAAGAGATGCAGGTGATGCAGGTGGACTACTCCCAGTCCTTGTTATTCATCGTTCTGCCGTCAAAACTCACCCCGACTGGAGTCTTTTGGCAGACTGGTCCTATTTATTGGGTTCACTTACCTGCATCCCCCTCCCGGGTCTTGATACCTTTCCATGATCTGGTAATACAATTAGTTTGGAAAGCAAAATATCTAGGAGATGCCTTGTTTGGGAAAACCTTTGATGTTCTCATATTACCATATAATCAAGACATTCTTTCTAAATTAAGACAGGAACATGATCTCTGGTGTCTTTTCTTCTGTAGTTTCATGGGACAGGTTGACAATCACTACCCTAAAAGCAGGCTCCTTGAAAGTCTAAAGACATGTACAATAATTTTCCCAAAGATCCTAAAAAAGGATCCTCTCCCGGGGGCACAAACCGTCTTCACTGACGGGGCCAAAAATGGGTTTGCTGTCGTTTCAGATGGGACCCAAGTCATCCGCAAGAGAGTGGCCGATTGTTCGGCCCAAAAAGCGGAGGTTGCAGCCTTAATATTGGCCTTACAGACCTATAGCTCGGTGCCCCTTAATGTTTTCACAGACAGTCTCTATATCGCCAGGCTCGCCTCCGCGATTGAGACGGCACCTTATATTGGAAAACAATCCACTATCATGGATCAACTACAAACAGTGCAGCTTCTTATATGGGCTAGGGCAGACCCCCTCTTCATAGGTCACATTAGAAGTCATTCCGGACTTCCAGGTCCTCTGGCAGCGGGCAACGCCATGGCAGACGCTGCCACACATGCCACTAATTTTATATATACAATAACTGAGTATGATAAGGCCCTACAACTTCATAATAAATTTCACCTAAACGCACAAACTTTGCGCTTCCGCTCAGGATGTTCCCGGGATCAAGCTTTAAAAATTGTCTCCCTATGTCCTACTTGTGCACCTTTTATCCATTCCCCTTCTCTGGGAGTCAACCCAAGGGGCCTTCAGCCAAACGACATCTGGCAAACTGATGTAACTCATATTCCTAGGTTTGGAAAGCTGTCTTTTGTGCATGTCAGTATAGACACGTTTTCTGGTTTTATCTCCGCTACTTTACATTCAGGAGAAAAGGCTAAGGACGTGATACAGCACTATGTTAAAACCTTTTCCTTTATGGGAACCCCTCGATGTATAAAAACAGATAATGGCCCAGCTTATATTAGTCAAACCTTCCAAAAATTTTGCTCACAGTGGGATATTATACACAAAACAGGAATCCCA